CTTTTCAATCTATAGGCAGAACAGATCACCTGGGAGACTGGACTGGATGGGAAGGAATGTAGTATCAGGATTGGAGGAAGACTCATCAACAACCTATGTTATGCAGATGACACAACCTTGCTTACCAAAGCTGAGGAGGACCTGAAACATTTGTTGCAGGTCCAGGACTGTAGTCTTCAATATGGATTGAAGCTCGACATCAAGAAGACAAAGATTCTCACCACTGGGCCAATTGGCAGCACCATGATGGATGGAGAAGAGATTGAGATTGTTAGCAATTTCAGCTTCCTTGGCTCCACAATCAACACTCTTGGTGTCAAGAGTGAGGAAATCAAAAGACGAATTGCATTGGGGAAGTCTGCTGTCAGGGACCTCTCCAAAATACTAAAGAACAATGATGTCAGTCTGGAGACTAAGGTGTACCCGATCCAGCCCATGGTCTTCTCATTTATTTGCTATACATCAGAGAGCTGGACAATGACTAAGGATGACAGAAGAATTGATGCCTTTGAGTCGTGGTGCTGGTGAAATCTTGAGCACACCATGGAGTGCCATGAGAACAATCAGGTCTGCCTTGGAGAGGGATGAAATTAAGCTGCTCTTTGGAGGCAAGGATTTTGAAGCTCCATCTCATTCTTTGGGCACTTGGCCAGCTGGGACTAGACCTTGTAGAAGGATATCATGATTGGAAGAGTGGAGGGATAGCACAGGAGAGGAAGACCCCGGATGAGGATTGACACAGTAACTGGGGGTGGGTATGTTGGATCAGCAAGACTGGCTCAGGATAGGGCACAGTTCAGAGCTATTGTACACAGGGTCACTATGAGTCACAGGCAACTTGACAGAACATAACAATATGCCCAGAATTCATAGTGTAGTGAGTTGAACCAATGGCAGATGAGAAAGCAGAAAGAGGGAAAAGTCTGTTTTTTCTTTTTAGTCTTGTCTGTGATTGAAATAGGCTAGTGAACAGAAGAGGATAAAGGGTTTTGTGTAGGACGTGATGTTTTGTGTAAATATTGGTTTGAGTGACAAAGTAACAATACAACTTGTCTATATTACTGTTCCTTGTGATGTTCAACACCTTCAAAAACTTAACTCCAGAGCTAAAAGGAGCCTAGTGGCTGTTAACTAATAGACTGGTCACTCCTCTAGGTGCATTCTGCTCTCATTAAGACCTGATGGAGGCTCACAATGGACTAGGCCAGTGGGTTTGGTATTTTGAGTCATATTTCGTAAGTTTCTTAAGGAATACTTAACAGATTTTTTAAAAAATTATAGACTTATAGTAGGAAGTGGCCACAATAGTTCAAAGGGTACCAAATCCTTTTCACCCAGTTTTTCCCAATAGAAATGTGACATAACTATAGAACAACTTCCAAACTAAGAAACTTGATGGTACAATACTGTTAACTAGACTACAGACTTTATTCCATTTCACCAGTGTGTCATGCACATGTGTGTGTTTTAACACTGGTACATATTTGTAATCACAATCAGGATATAGAATTGTCCCATCACTATGAAGGAATAACCTTGTATTATCTTGCGCCCTTTCCAATTCTTGTCTCTGAAAACTACAAAGTTATTCTTCATTTCAATAACTATTACTTCAAGAATGTTCTATAAATGGAGCTAGAGAGCTCAATCTTTTCAGATTGAGTTGAATCACTCAACATAATTGCACTGACATCTGTCAGCGTACCAACAATCTGTTCCTTTTCATTGTGGAGTAGCAATCCCCCTACATGGTCCGCTAGGGTTCAGTTCTGACCTGCCAGCTGAGTTGTGCTGCTGTTCTCTGATAGGCTGTAACACAGTGTAACCAGTCAGTCACTTGGTGAAGGACATCTGGGCTTTTCCCAATTTGGGGCTATTACAAATGAAGCTGTTACAGAAGTTCATGTATTGTTCTCATGTCTCGAAGATAAATGTAAAGGAGTCTAATTATGAAGTAATATATTTAATCTTGTAATAAATTTCAAAACTCTTTCCCAGAGTGATTAAAGCATTTTATAATCCCAAGAGCAATGTTTGAGGGATTCTGTTTATCTGTCTTTTCAATGCCACTTAGTATTGTCATCATTGTTTTCACTGGCCATTCCAACAGGCTAGCACACTGTCATTGTCATGCTCCTGATGACTCAGGAGATCAGCATCTTTTCAAGTACTCACTTGCCATCTAGATCCCCTCTTCAGTCAATGGCTTATTCAGCCCCCTTGGGAGGGAGGGGCATGCTTGTATTTTTCTGATCTGTTTGTACATAATTTTTCTCAATCTGTAGCTTGTCCTTTCCTCTTCTTAAGTTTTTTAGAGTGAAAGCTTTAAATTTTTAGAAGTCTAGCTTGCTCAAACTAAGGAATGGAAGCACTTGCTGCAGGTCAAGGACTGCAGCCTTCAATATGGATTGAAGCTTAGCATCAAGAAAACAAAGATTCTCACCACTGGGCCGACTGGCAGCATCATAATAGATGGTGAAGAGACTGAGATTGTTAACAGCTTCAGTTTGCTTGGCTCCACAAGCAACACTCTTGGTATCAGCAGCCAGGAAATCAAAGATGAATTGCGTTGGGAAAGTCTGCTGTCAGGTACATCACCCGAGTACTGAAGAGCAGTGATGTTAGTCTAGAGACTAAGATGCACCTGATCCAGGCTCAATTACCTGCTATGCATCAGAGAGCTGGACAATGACTAGGGATGATAGGAGAACTGATGCCTTTGAGCTGTGGTGCTGGAGTATTGACTATACCATGGACAGCTAGGAGAACAAATAGGTTCATCCTGGAGAAGGTGAGACCAGGCTGTTCCTTGGAGGCAAGGATCCTGAGGCTCTGTCTGACATCCTTTGGACATGTTGCAAGGAGGTACCAGTCCTTGGAGAGGGACGTCATGCTTGGGAGGGTGGAGAGACAGTGTAAGAGAGGAAGACCCTCAAAGAGATTGATTGACTCAGTGACTAGGGTGATGGGGGTAGGTAAGTCAGAGACAATAAGGTTGGCTCAGGATAGAACAGGGTTCAGAGCTGTTGTACATAGAGTCGCAGGTGACTTGATGGCACATAACAACATTAACAACAGTCTATCAACATTTTTCTTTTGTGAAAAATAACTGATTGCCTGGCCTTAGATTTTCTGTAATTACTTTTTCCTAAATGTTTGATTTCTCACATGAAAATTCGTGATTAAAATCTTGAGTAACTTTTGTATAAAGTGTATGATTTATGCTACAGTTCTTTTTTTTTTTTGTTTTGATCAGTGGATGCCCACTTGTTGAAAAGAGTACTCCAATGGATAGCTTTACTGTCTTGTCAAAATGAGGTGGCTGTGGCTGTGTGAGTCTGTTTCTGTGTTCTCCATTCTGTTCCATCTATCTGTCCATCCCTGTGACACCATAGTGTCTTCATTACTATGGCTTTATAGTAACTGTTCAAATCAGATAATGTGCGTTCTCCAGCTTTATACTTCTTCAAAATTAATTTAGCATAATTAATTTTATATCTGGATACTTTGTCTTTCCTATAGGAAAATAAAAAAATAGAGAATTACTGGGGCTGTAGGGAAAATGTAGAAAAAACATAGCATTTACATCCCATATGCCCTAGGGTAGTGGTTTTCAAGCAGTATCGGGGAGGAGTTTGCCTCAGAATCAGCTCCCCCCCGATAGCGCCCCCACTGACAGTTTAACCTTCAGTTAATTCTGATGAAAAACTTCAAAATATAAAAAATAAGGGAGCGCAGTAAACCAAAAAAATCCCCCAATGTACATGAATGAAACATAGTGTAAACAAATGATATGCAAATCAATAAAAAATGGAAAGAAACAAACAAAACCCCAAACCCAATAATCCAGAAAGAAACAAACCCAGAAATAACCTTTTATCACCATTGTTGGGATTTGGGCTTCTTTTTTTACCCCTTTCCATACCTTCTCCAATCTCAACTTTAACATGGAAAGGGCCTAACCAATTTCTGAAGACACTTAGAATTTGTAGTTAGTTGCACGTGCTAAATAATGCAAAAGAACTTTTTAAAGCAGGATTTTTACTACATGTAAAATTCTGAAAGTGTCTGGAAAACACATTCATATTATAATGGAAACTCCAAGGCAAACAGGATCTGTTCAACAGAGTCAAATAGGCTCAAAATAATTTATTTGGTTAAAAGGGACACCTACATAGTTCAGTCTTTGCTATGTCAGTATTATCAGCAACCTTGGAAATATATGTTCGCGATCAAGAAGAAGACATGAGATACAAAGCGTCTCACTAAGCTATTGTACATTCCCATCAGCCCTGGGACTTCAGACTCAAACTCAACCACCTCCCACTTCACTAAAACCTGAAACTCTATTCTTCCTTGAACTTTTCTAGAGAGTGTGGCTGTATTAGAACATGAAAATAAAGACAGAGCAAAGGGAAAATAAACATTTAAAATATAGTTTCCAGACATCTTATCCTAAGATATTTTTGCCAATCTACTTTTTATTAACTTTAAAAAATTCATATATGCTTAAATAATATTACAAAATTCTTTGTAAGTCACTAGTATGTAGATGGGGTCATTTAGAAGCTTTAAAGAAACTTCTTTAGAGGAAGACATTTTGTGTTCAATTCAAGTGTAAACCCCACACATTGGAAAAAAGTCTCCCTTGGAGGCTAGGATTTTGAAGCTTCATCTCACATACTTTGGACACGTGCAGGGGGGACCAGTCCTTGAAGAAGGACATCATGCTTGGATGGGTAGAGGGACAGTGCAGGAGAGGAAGACCCCAGATGAGATGGATTGAGAAAGTAACTGGGGCAACAGGGATCGGTGTGTTGGAGTCAGTGAAACTGGCTCCGGACAGGGCAGGCTTCAGAGCTGCTGTACATAGGGTCGCTATGGGTCACACAAAACAACAACCTATCTGTTTACACATGAGCAGTATACATTGTAGCACAACTGTATTTATGTTTAGAACATTTTTTTAAAGAAAGATTTACCCGATTTTGTCTCCAGCCTTATTCTAGGGAAGAAAGCTCTTGCATAAGTTCTTCCTTTTCTTGTTGCAACTCTTGCAAATGCTGTTGGTTTTGCTCCAGTCTGTCCTCCAACCATTGTAGGAGAGGTCCACTGACAGCTGACATCTGGCTGCACAGGTTCTTAGTAAATACTTCAACAAGAAAAATACAGATAGATTGTAAGAAAGCACTGTCCGCTGGCATATCTCCATTCCCTGACCAATAGTCCCTCAACTGTAAGCAGAGGAAGAAGAAATTGGAGGAGGAAGCAGAAGAGCCAGTAAGAGAGCTCTCGTGGCCTAGTGGTAAGAATCTGCCCTGTACTACCAAAGGCGTGTTCGACTCCACCAGCTGCTCTGCAGAAGACTGAACAGTTTCCTCCCGCGAGATTAACTGCCTCTGAAAAGCTGCTGGAGGCTTAATAAGGGTCATTTTGATGGCACACAACACAACAGGGCTGCCTATGCAGAGGGCAGAAGGTGGCCAGCTACTTACTCCTGCAGGAAAAATGGCTAAGAGCTATTAAAAGGTTACTTCTAGATTTTCAGATCTGTTCACATTATCAATGACTATAACCTTGTATAGAGTTAAAAATGTACACAGTCTTTGATTTCGTTTTCCATGGAGTGCTATAGGAAAATTGCTTATCAAATGTTACTTGCAATGGAGAACTACATTAGTTCAGCTTATCTGGAACCTTTTGTTTAAAATGAAGAAACCAAGAACGGGATGAAGAGTAAGGGAGCAGGAAATATCCCATGCCTTGCTGTGAACTGTTGTCAGGTATCATTTCATCGCCATGATGCACCAGCAGATCTGAACCCTGCCCTCTCCTGCGGTGCCCTCACCATCTCTGACAATCAAGCCATCTTGGTGAGCATCTTCCTATTGTTCCCAGCCTCCACCTTTCCCAGCATAGTATCTTTTTTCCAAGGACTGGGCCTTTCTGACAACATGCTCATAGCATGTGAGAGGAAGTCTCACCCCCTCCCCCCACCTTGAGAGCAGCCTCACTGCACTGCCTGCAAGACAGACTTGTTTGTTCTTCTGACAGTCATTCACTTGTTGCTGACAAGTTGGAACCAACTTGTAGCTGACCCTTCAACGAGTTTTAAAGAGCAGATGGTGGATTCAAACTGCCTTCCTTTGGGTTGATGACAGCATAACTCCTGCCCCACTAAACCATCAAAGCTTCCTGTTCGTTTGTCAGTCAAGAGGACATTCAGTGCCCCTCTTCAACACTACAATCCAAAGACATCAATTCTTCCTTGGTCTTCCTTACTTATTGTCCAACGTTTAGATGCTCAAAAAGCAACTAAAAGCAACATGACTTGAATCAGTCACACCTCCTGACTCTTTAGAACTTTTGCTATGAAATGCTGTTGTTGTGTGCTGTTGACTACAACTCAGCAACCCTATCAACAATTGCTCTGAACCTTGCCCAATGCCATCCTCACCATCTCCAGTACACTTCAGCCCATTGTTACAGTCACGTGTCAATCCATTCCTCTGAGGGTTGACGGTCTTCCTTTCTTATGTTAATCCTCCACCTTTCCAAGCATGTCTTTTCCAAAGGCTGGCCCCTTCTGAAAACATGCCCAAAGTATGTGAGATGGGGCTTTAGCATCCTTGCCTCCAAGGAGCACGCTGGCTGCACCTTCTCCAAGACAGATCTGTTTGTTGTTTTGGCACTCCAGGAAATATCCAATACTTTTCTCCAACACCACAACTCAAAGGCACAGATTCTTCTTCTGTCATCTTTAGTAATTAGTGTAGTTAAAATGTTTCCTTCCTAAACTTTGGTCTATTCCAACTTTATGGTGAAACAATGATTCTGTGACACTCTTGTGAAAGAAATTCTTCCTAATAGAACTATCTTTTTCTCTCTTATAATACAAGATAGTTACTGAAATTAAGATTATTAATACTGTGGGGGAATATCCTTGAAGCTTTTTGAAAAACAATCTGTGTCTCAGTGTGTGTATTTTTGAAAAAAAAATCCTATTATTTTGGACCTTCCTTTTCCTCTACATAATACTCATCTGAATAGGTAAGTTCACTCTTGATGGACATTGCAATATAACCACAGTCAACAAGTAGTTCTGACTCATGGGGGCTTCTCCACTCTGTTTCCAAGTTACAGATTTTAATGAGAGGAGATTGCCATATCCAAGTCCATGTTTTTCTTGTTATGTGCCCTTGAGTTGCCCGTCACTCATAGTGACCCTATGTACAACAGCCCTAAACTCTGGCCTATCCTGTGCCAATCTCACTATCTCTGACACACCTACCCCCATTACCCCAGTCACTGAATCAATCCATCTCATCGAGGGTCTTCCTCTCCTGTGCTGTTCCTCCACCCTACCAAGCATGACGTCCCTCTCCAAGGACTGGTCCCTCCTTGCAACATGTCCAAAGTATGTCAGACGAAGCTTCAGAAACCTTGCCTCCAAGGAGCAGCCCGGCTTCACCCTCTCCAGGACAAGCCTGTTCGTTTTCTTAGCAGTCCATGGTACTCTCAAAACTCTTCTCCAACACCACAGCTCAAAGGCATCCACTTTCCTTCTTTCATCCTTTTCATTGTCCAGCTCTCTGATGCACTGCAAGTGATTGCAAAGACCATGGCATTTATCAGGTGCACTTTAGTCTCCAGACTGACATCATTGCACTTCTGTATTTTAGAGAGATCTCTAACGGCAGATATTATTATTATTATGATGATGATGATGATGATGTGTGTACCGTCAAATCAGATCTGACAGGTACAGGAGGAGATTTTCCCTCCTTTTCCAGCAGAACATCTGGTGGATTCGAACTGTGTACCTCTGGGATTTCAGTGCAGCGTCTTGCCACTAGGCCACCAGAGCTCACCGCAATACGTCTTTTAATTTCCTGGCTTCTGGTGCCAAGAGGGTTGACTGTGGAGCCAAGCAAACCGAAACTGTGAACAATCTGTCTCTTCACCATCCATTATTATCCTGGCATTTGGCCCAGCGATGAGAATTTTTGTTTTCTTGATATTGAGCCTCAATCCATATTGAAGACTGCAGTCCCTGACCTTCCGCAGCAAATGCTTCAGGTCCTCCTCAATTTCAGCAAGCAGGGTTGTGTCATCTGCATAACGCAGATTGTTGATGAGTCTTCCTCCAATCCTGATGCCACATTTCTCCTCATAGAGCCCAGCCTCCCGGATAATCTGTTCGGCATAAAGATTGAAAAGGTATGGAGACAGGATACAGCCCTGGCATACGCCCTTCCCAATTTTGAACTAGGCAGGGTTTCCCTGCTCTGTTCTGACGACTACCTCCTGGTCCAAGTATAGGTTTCGCATTAGCACAATCAAGTGTTCTGGGATTCCCATTCTTCTCAGAGTTAGCCATAGTTTGTTATGATCCACACAGTCAAATGCCTTTGCATGGTCAATCAAACACAGATAGACATTCCTCTGGTATTCCCTGCTTTCAGCCAAGATCCATCTAACATTAGCTACAATATTCCTAGTACCACGACCCCTTCTAAACCCAGCCTGCACTTCTGGTAGTTCTCTGTTGATATGCCGTTCCAGTCATTTTTGGATAATCTTCAGCAGAGTCTTGCTTGCATGTGATATTAATGATATTATTTTATAATTTCCACACTCTGTGGGATCACCTTTCTTTGTAATGGGAACAAATATAGATCTCTTCCAGTCAGTTGGCCAAGTGCTTGTTCTCCAGATTTCTTGGCACAACCTGGTAAGCATGTCCAAGGCAGCATCTGTTAGTTGAAATATGTCAATTGGTATACTATCAATTCCTGGGGCCTTATTCTTAGGCAATTCTTTCAAAGCAGTCTGAACTTCTTCCTTCATCACTATAGGCTCTTGCTCATATGTTGTTTCATTAAATTCTTTTGTGTCTGCCAAGTCCTTTTGGTATAATGACTCTGTATACTCTTTCCATCTACTTTTAATACTTGCAGGATCACTCAATATTCTGCCCAAAGATCCTTAAGAATTTCAACTCAAGGCTTGAATTTGTTCTTCAGTTCCTTGAGCTTAAGAAATACTGAGTTTGTCCCCTTTGATTTTCTGACTCCAGCTCTTTGCACGTTTTTTTATAATACTTTATTTTGTCTTGTCACGCAGCCTTTTGAAATCTCCTGTTCAGTTCCTTAATGTCTTGATTTCTTCCTTCTGCTTTGGCTTCTCAGAGCTCCAGTGCAATATTCAGAGTCTCTTCTGACATCCATTTTGGTCTTTTCTGCTCCTCCGTCTTTGCAACGACTTTTGCACTCTTCCTGGATACTACATAATCAGTTTTGCTATGAACATGGAATTGGAGCTGGCAATTCGACTTCTAGAAATATATCTTTCAAAAGTAACTCAGCAATAACTTAGTGCTGTCAAGTAAAAACTAACTCTCAAGTGTATAAAAGTAAATTTAAAACAATATTAACCTGCTTTTATAATAGCAAAAAAAATGGATGCTTTTGAAATAAGGAGCCCTGGTGGTGTAGTAGATTCAGTGTTGGGCTGCCAACCAAAATGTGAGCAGTTCAAAACCTCCAACCAGTCCATGAGACAAATATGAGGTTTTCCAAGTGTTCATTTCCCCTACAGTCTCACCTAACTATCTCTCAAGTTTATCTTTGCCCCAGGAGAAAAGATGGAAATGATAACTTTCTTTTAATGCAGGCACTCTGGTGGTATCGTTTGTAGGGAGCTGTGCTGCTAACCCAAAGGCATTGCCTCTCTGGCGGTTCGAATCCAACAGCTGCTCTGTGGGAAAAAGACAGGCCACCTCCTCCTATGTGATTTACTGCCTTTGAAAACCTCGGGGAGGGTTAGTTATGAAACAGTTCATTTTTCCCAACAGTAGATAGCTAGGGAGCTCTGGTGGCCTAGTAGTAAAGAGTTGTGCTGCCAACCCAAAAGTACATGGTTCTAATCCACCTGCTGCTCTATGAGAGAAAGGTGGGCAATCTGGTCTCTAAAAACTCACTGAAGGGTCAGTTATGAATCGAGTATGACTCAACAGCACATAACAATTAAGAGCTAACTGTAGGCCACCATTTGTGGTGTTTCACATACCTTCAGGGTAGCCCATGGATGACAGGTTTCAGAAGAGCTTCCAGACTAAGGTGGATTAGGAAGCGGGACTGGACACCCACT